AGCAGCAGCAGGCAGCAGAAGCAGCAGTAGTAGGAGTAGTAATCCCAGCTCAGGCCTGCAAGCTTGCAGTCGCATGTCATGGAATGTTGCAAGGCTTTTCAGCAACATTCACAACATCACATTGATATTGTCATGGTTCCCCTGCGCGGGCGTATTTCTGTGCAGCCAAAGCTTCCTTCGGAGGATTTCCCCGCGGAGGGCGAGGTCCAGCGATGGGGTCTCGCGGCCTTAGGTGTGCCTTGGCTTGGAGATGTCAGAGTTCGCGAGGGGTTCACTCTCGAGGGCTCTGCGTGGAGCTGCTAGGCAACGTAAGAATCATAACTTGGCGCTTTCAGGCGCCCATTGCAAGTTAATGGCGCTCTCAGGCCAGTGGCAACAAGACTTGTAGTCATATTACCCTCTACCAAGGAGCTGCTGCGACATGGGGAAGCGCTTCCCAAGCAAATCGTGGAGCTCCTCGGATTGCAAACTCGAATGTGTTTGGATTCAAAACTGTCTGAGCTGCCACCTCGCTGTCGACAATAATAACTTTACCACGAAAGCCACTGCACTGCATTAAAGTACGATCCGACGGCACCGAGCACAACCGGAGCAGCAGCTGCAGTAGAAAGTCAGTGGAAGCAGAGGCATGAGGAAGTGATGGTGTCTCCGTGATGATCGTTAGATGTCGGTGCCCTTTCGGGGAAGGCTTGCAGCCGCCCCAGCACTGCTCCAACAGCCCACGCTACTTCTAAGATCCTGTCTGCAACTGCCGTGAAGGATAGGATTTCAGCTTGGGGTTTAAGGTTTGGCGTTTAGAGCTTTAGGGTCTAAGTTTAGGGTCGGCATTTTGTGAGTTCAGGGTTTTAGGGAGACCACCGGATGCAAAAAGTCAGACTGTTCTAGCTTTGTTTTCAAGCATAAAGTGGTTGAGCCTAGCTTAGAGCATCATTCTGCGATAAAGCCCGTTTTCGGATACATAGACTTCAGGCAGCAGCTTAGAATCGAAAACCAAAGCTGGATCACCGAATTTCGATCAACTCTCCGAACTCTCTTCTGACAAGTCAAGGCTTAGCTTGTTTACACTCCATTGCAGCTTTTCAATGGTCACAGTGGTTTATAGTTTGGGGTTTAGGGTTTAGGGTAATCATCTCCACTTCAGGATGGACTGCGGGTTTGCATTGCGCCCTGGAACGAGGACCGGTTCCTTGGACCTGGCTTTGGTAGCCTTGCAGCTTCATCCTGGATCCGCGCAGGTGCCCTGCAAGACAAAGCCAAGTATATGTAGGGCTCTGGAGAGCTAGCAATAAGTTCCCCTTCTTAATATATATATATATATATATAGATATAGATATAGATATATAGATATATAGTGCCAAAGTAAGTACTGTATCAACATACCCCAAAACCCTGTTCTAATTTTCAGACCCTGACATAAAGCAT